ACCCTTACTCGAGCTACCCTTTGTTGTAGGCTCCAGCAGCTGCTGCCGGTATTTCGCAAGTTTCGCCTTCAGAAGGCCCAAATGATATTCAGTGGCCTTATTTTTTTGCGTTCTGCTGATCTCATGCTCAATTTCCTGGATCTTCTCCACAATACCCATTACGGTGCACCTGAAAAACACTGTTATGGCAGGATTGAAATGTAAAATCCTTTCAACGATACCTATCAGAAGAAATTATTTGAGTCGCTCCGCTTCATCTCGGAACGTAGCTTTTGCTACGTACAAAAACACGAAGCTCACATAAACCTCATAACAGCAAACATAAGAACTCGCAAATACAAGAACTACCTCAGTTCTGGGTTCCCGGAAATTCAAGTCATGCTTTACACGTATTTCGGGAGAAAAAACGCAAAAAACTGTCTGTAAAACCTTTGTGCTCGTACAAGAAGTGATATTCATTACGAAAATAGCAAAAAACATTTGATAAAACTGCTCATTTCAAAAAGTTTAACAAAATTTTCGAAAAATTTTATTGGGAGATCGAAATTTGGAAAAATCAAACAATCGCTTATATCTTAATTATACAACATGAACAAATCAGGCCCAATTCAGGCCTCACATACAACATGCATCTCACAACCTACAACATCAACAACCGGCGTAACACAAGCCACAAAATACAATTCAAATCAAACGACCGGAGATTTTCGACGCCCCGAATTCAGGTTAAGCCGGCAAATGATAATTAACAAACTGAAGAGCATCTAGCCATAAATTCGCATTTGGAACGAGTATAATTCTTGACAATGTTTGCCAGGTAGTAAAACAAGCTATCTCAGCTCCTCATACAGGCCTCAGAAAGACAAAACTTCACAGCATACTCGACAAAAACAAAGAACACCTCTCTGCACTCCCATTAACTTAAAAAAGACTTTTTTTGAGAAATTCCCAACTGATATTTGCATTTCACGGTGCAGCAACCAACCACTAGATGAGCACTGCATAAGGACCCAGTGGTAATCCTCAAAGGCAGCAAACATGGAGCTCAGCAATATCTCAAGCACTTGCATCGAGACTACCAGTGCCCTCAGCATTTGTATGGGAGCTACTGGTGAAGGAGAATCCCTTCAACTACTTATTAAAATGCAGTGATAAAGTTCGCAGAATATGACGAGAGCGTCCCAAGCAACATAATTTATTGACTAGTGCCACTCCCCAGCTCTGTTCTGTCTCAGAAACATTTTTCTTCCAAATCCTGCATTCAGAATGGTTGGGCATGCCTTACCCTTCGTTGCCCAAATTTAGCATGCGAGATGATTGCTGCTGCTGCTCACCTCCTTCTCAATCGACTACCGTTAGGTCCAAGTAATGAGGAAAGTCCTTTGATAGCGGACTGTTGTCGGTCTGAAGGCTGATCGGTTGCGTCAAGAACTGTTGCTGTTTCAATCGGAATGTGGCCTGAGTACTGCCGAAAGTGTCTAAGCGCATCATCTGACTTCTTAATTCGGGAAACAACCCGGTGACACAAACAGCGCGTTAAAAGCTGTAGTAAGTCAGTTGAGGAAAACAAATGGCTGGTGCCCTTAGTAACAACGAAAATTACAGTGCGGAACAGTGATATGTACAGTACGCTGCTTTATACATATTAATTCACTAAGTTTCTTTGTCGGCCTCTTTCACGGTGTCAACATTCTCTTTCGTTGCGCTCTTGAACAGTTCGCCGAGTGTAGGAAGAGGAGGCAGTGCAACAGTCGGCAAATCAGACAGATCCGGTAACGAATTGAAATGTTCCTTCACCTAAAAAGCATTTATTAAATTTGCTTCTTTTCGTTTACCAATTAAAACAAATATTGCTCACTTTGCCACGTTTTTTCTTTTTTTTTTTTTTAAATTCAGGCCTATCGCATTCTCCTATCCGAGACAGGAGATGAAATGACTCGAAAGCTACCACAGAGCATTAGCACCAGAAGTATCTGCTAATTTATAGCCTAGATCTCCTTATGCGGCTACGAATTTTTCGTCGACCAAAATCTCGTTCTTGTTGCATCCACACAATTTGCTCGAGTCAGTGGTGACCCTTCTACTGCCCTTTAAACACACAGATACCAGTTCACCATTCCAATCTGCTATCTGTCATCTTTGCCACATAATAAGCCCAACTTCTTTTCCTGCACACATTTCTTTTACATCAAAATGTAAATGTAATTCACTAATAAAGTGTAGTTTCACTCACGGTAATTTCGATTCTTTAAGACTTTGAAAAATTTTGGTTTGAAAGTGTGAATTTTCCTTGAAACTTAAATAAACAAACCGCTGT